TTCTATGGACAGTTGTCTCTTCTCCATGCAGAGACGTGGCCTGCCATGAACACAGGAGTATGTTTTTACTCTCATCTTGGTATCACCTGGCAGTCTATCCCAAAAGCCAATTAGTTGGTCTTTCCTTCATCTTACTATACCATTTCCTTCTCTTTTCTGTCCTCCCCAAATAAGATTAACTGGTCAACCTCCTACTTCATTATAAAACTGCAAGTCATATAAGATGCTTGTGGAAAGGGGATAGGGCAAACTGTTGAAATCACGGCAGCCGAAAACAAAAGATGTTTTTTTGAAAAATAAATAAATCGCCCTTCTGGGCTGGTGCAGTGCTTTCCTAGCATGCTCAAGACCCTAGGTTCAGTTTCCATCATAAAATATCACCCTGCCAAGCTATTTAAGCCAGATTTCTACAGGAATATAAAAGTTCCAGTGAAATATTAAAAAACTAGCTCTTCATATAAAATGATAGATGTTTTAATTTTTTTCTAAACCTGGTAAAACTGGTTTTTAAGTCAGAGCTACTTGATATTACTCAACTTTTAATTAATAGTATAGCCAGTTATTCTCAGGAGATCAATACTTATAATAATACCTTGCATTTAACTTAACTGGGAAAATCTTGTTATCATCATTTTGTAAATAACATTTCCCAATCTAATGGCTTCAGGGTCACTGAACTCTGGTTACAAATGAAAAACCCAAAGGAATTGATTTACCAACTACAACTGATCTTGGGAAGACAGGAGTTCAATTTATGCTAAGTAATATATTCATGTACAGGACTGGGGTTCTGGTATAAGTTCATTGGTGGTAATCATGGTCTTCATCCCAGTCGACAAGACCCTAGTTTTGATTTGCTGGTGTTAATTCCATGGTAATACCTAATTCTTTTCATGACTCTTGTCACTTTAATAAAGTTTATTTGACCTTCTGTACTTCTCAAACTGTCTAAATAGGGAAGCCTAGTTTTCTTCTTAATCAGTCTTGAATCAGTATTTAAGTACAATAAAAATTACTTTAAAAATCATGCCTGTAGTTATTGTAGCAAAATCAAATTGTCCTAAAGGTTTCCATATGGTTAATGGTTGCTGTGAATGACTTGCAAATTATTTGTTGTTGTTTGTTTGTCTGTGAAGCCTTCAGGCTGATACTGGCCCATCTGGGATATTATATAAGCCATTCTGAAGTTCATGCCTTCACAGAAAGGTCTCAGCCACTATGTGAGAGTCCCTGCACCAGACACCATTTACTTCTGTCACAGAGATCTGCAAGCGAAGCCTGGGCCTTGCTCATTACCTTTGAGGGTTTTGGGTTCCCCTCAGCTGCCTTATCCATGAATATACTAAAATTGCTAGCTCTTCTTAGCAAGAAGCTTTCAGATTCCTTATCAGTTTACTTTCTACAGCGTTTCCGTTTACAAATGTGATAGTTATTAGGTAAACTTGATCAAATACGAATGAAGAGTTCTTGGAAAAGAGCTACTGTAGGCCTTCATATCCATGGGATCCGGAGGGCACCCTGACATTGAGACTCCAGAGATTTGTGATGTTCTTTAGTATATTAGTTAGTGTGGTGGTTTGAATGAAAATGTCCTCCATAGGCTCCAAGTATTTGGACATTTTGTCCCTAGATGGTGGCACTGTTTTGGGAGGTCTTAGAAGGTGTGGCTGTCCTGAAGGAAGCATGTCACTGGGGGCAGGTTTAGAGAGTTCTTAAGCCTTGCTGGATCCCCAGTTGCTCTCTTGCTTCCTGTGCCTCCTTGATGATATGAGAACTTAGCTTCTGCTGCTCCTGCTCCAGCCACCATGCCTCCCTGCCATGATGGACTGTAATTCCCCTGGAACCATAAGCTCAAATAAACTCTTCCTTCTGTAAATTGCTTGGGTCAGTGTTTCTATCACAGCAACAGAAAAGTGACTAAGACAGTTAGCAAAGACATTATACTATGCCACCCCTATACCTTGAATTTTACATAACAGATAAAGGTTTATTTTATGACTCAGGCTCATAGCAAAGTTCTAAATCTTGCTTACCTGGACCTTTTCTACCCAAAGTAAGTGTCTTAATGTTACAACCTCCATTTTTGCAGAGATGGCTACTCAGGACTAACAGACTTCTGAAGGCAGTGGTTTTAGGAATAGCAGCAGGCATTGTAGGTGGCCAAGAGAAAAGAGCAAACATCGGATGGCTGTGTACTTGGGGGAAGGGGGGGAAGATGAGGGAATGAGCTGGTGATTGTGGTTTTGATCAGTTAATATGGTTTCTAAGGCTGTGGACTGTGTGTCTGTGTTGGCCTGCAGCTTTAGATTCAGAATGCCTGGGTAGAACCTTGGGAAGATATGACTGTACACTGTTCAGAATGAAGTTCCACTCGTAGGCCAAGAAAAGAGCAACCATGAGAGTGGACAGATGGCCAGAGGAGCCGGTGTGGAAGAGGGAAGCACAGTGTTGCAGAGAAAGCCTTGTTCAAAAAAAGTTCCACTTGCTGTCGTAACTATAATGTATCACAGAATAATGGTCACTAAGCACTGTGGAGACACTCAGTGAACTTGGAGTCAGAATTCTGAGGCTCAAGTCCTGGACTCCAAGGCAGCATCTTGAATTTTCTCAAGCCCTCTTACACCTCACATCTGACTTCTCATCTGTTAAACATTCCCAAGCTATGGAAGCTGTCATGGGGATCAACCGAGATAATGCATATACAAATCACAAATCACAATTTATTTTTCTGTGTTGCTACAAGACCAGCATTCCCTCTTATTCTCCCTATTTCAAAATCAAGGCTGTGAGGGATGTCAGTAGCTATTAGTGACCCTTTTCTAGTACCTATTGCAGCTTTCCAGAATCCTCTGAAGCTGTTAGCTATTGCAGCATTATATGATTGTTCTAAGCAGATGGTGGTATGAGCACATTTCATCTTAAGGACAGTTATTTCTACATGATGAGGGGAGGGAACAAGCATTTTGGCATGTTTTATAGGAATGGACACCCATGCATGCTGATTATATAAAATGATAGAATGCTAGAAGGGAATCTTATAAAGAAGAGTGTGTAACTACCAGAACTGCTTTTTAAAACGTAATTCAAATAAATGACAAATATTCTCAATCAGACTAGTTATGACTCAGATCATGATTGTGTTCCAGATGGAAGTTCATATCCAAAGGCTGAGCACAGATTTTACCATTGCAAAAATAGTGCAGGTTTCTTTATCCTTAATCTTGTTTCCCTAGAGTAACATCTTCTGTAATCATAACACAGTTGGTGACACAGGATGTAAAGATTGGTATAGTACTGTTATATAATCTAGAGACTTTATGCACATTTTGCCACTTTTCCTATTGATGTCTTTTTTCTGGTCTAATGTTCCTAGGAACACACAGTTATATCTTCTTAATCCTGTCTAACCTGCAACTGTTCTTTTTAAATAAAAATTCCTGACCTTCATACTTTGAAGAGTTTTAACCACTATTTTGTAGGCTGACCCCCCTCAGCTTTGGTTTACCCGGTCCCTTCTCATGACTGGATTAAGGAAGCTTTTTTATAAGAGCCATACAAAAGTAATGCTGTACTCTTCCCTCCCGTCAAGAGTACACAATGCCATCATGGCTCCCTACAGTAGGGTTAACTTTGATCAGTCTTTCAAGGCATTGTCTATTAGATTTCTCCAGTGTAAAGTTATGCTTTTCTCTTTGTAATTAATAAGTATGTTGTCATTTTAAATTTTGTTTTGGTGCTGGGAATTGAATCCAGGGTCTCATAGATACTAAGCAAGTGTTCTATGACTGAATTACAACATATCCCTCCCCCAGCACCATTTTTTTTTTCTAGAAGGTTTTATGCTTTCTTAAGTTAACGGTCAGAGTTGGAGCAAGTGTCATGCACAGAGGGTTGCAAAGGGCCCTGTTCTTGGTGGGTCTAAAAAATGATGCCTTGAAAAATGATAGTCATTATTTAACTGTTTGAATAGATTTCTCTCAACCCATGCTGAAATGGATTGCCTGACATTACATTGCAGGATTTTTAAGTCCTACCTCCAGGCAAATATCATAGTTACTAGCAAAAATGAAAGTGTGAAATGCTTTTTAATGTATATTTAACAACACACAGTCTGATGATTGCTGATGTGTAGTCTCTGTGGACTCCTTTGCTATTGGAGGAGGATGCCAAAGACAACTTTTTACACATTTATTCTATCTAAAGCCATCACGTTTACTTTTCAAATATCTATGCCTGTCATTTACAACAAAATCATAAAAAGTCAAATACTTAAAGTCTAACTCAAACTTTGAATCATAGAATTGCAACCAATTTTCAGGAAGAGTACAATTACCTTTCAAAAGTAATATTTCCTTTATTCTGTCTTGTGAAATTACCTGTTCCTAACTGGCTCTAAAATATAACTATTTTTAAAAGAAAAGATGCAGCTCAGTGATGGAGTTATGAAGGGAAATGCCTCTTTACTCATCCTTTTTTGTTTAGACAGGCACATAACTCCCATTTACAGGAATTTCCATCATTGAATCCAGTGTCATGTCTGCTTGAGTTAACGTAGTCAGTTTCATTAACTACTTAATTCCCTCGTATGATGTATTTAATAAAGATGAAGGTACCTTTTCCGCATTGATAGTAGATTGCACAGCAAGAGTTCACATCTTATACTAATATATGCTAAGCAGTTGCATAGTATATAGATGATTGTTGTTAAAATACCAGTACTGAAGGCATTTTAGATCACAGAGCCCCAGTTGTCTACTTTTTGTTTGCCTTGACATTATTAAATTCAATTTGTTTCTCTAACTGTGACTCTAATTACTATATTTGCATGGCAGCAAAGTTTGCTTTGTGGTTGAATTTTATTAACAGTGCTTGCATGTTGTCTTCTGCTCTCACTCTTTGTATTTCATAAGCAGACAGAGCACCTTCAGTTGCATTGCATACTTATGCACAATCAATAAGTTTTGTGTTTGTCTTTGTTGTTTCTTTGATGTGGCCTGTAGGACGCCGCTGGCAAAGTACTGGACCGCTGGGCCATCATGTCTCGAGAAGAGGAAATCATCACCCTTCAGCAGTTTCTGCGGTTTGGAGAAACCAAATCCATCGTGGAACTGATGGCAATTCAGGAGAAGGAAGGGCAGGCCGTGGCTGTACCATCTTCAAAGACAGACTCGGATATAAGGACTTTCATCGAGAGCAGTAACCGCACCAGGAGTCCCAGCCTCCTTGCACACCTAGAGAACAGCAATCCTTCCAGCATCCATCACTTTGAAAACATCCCAAACAGCCTTGCATTTCTGCTTCCATTCCAGTACATAAACCCTGTCTCAGCCCCACTGTTAGGGTTGCCTCCAAATGGGCTGCTTTTAGAGCAGCCAGGACTGAGACTGCGAGAGCCAAGCCTTTCAACACAGAATGAATATAATGAGAGCAGTGAATCTGAAGTATCTCCCACACCATATAAGAGTGATCAAACGCCAAATAGAAATGCCCTGACCAGCATTACTAATGTGGAACCAAAAACAGAACCAGCCTGTGTCTCCCCCATTCAGAATTCTGCCCCAGTCAGTGATCTCAGCAAAACTGAACACCCAAAAAGCTCATTCCGGATTCACCGGATGAGAAGGATGGGGTCAGCCTCAAGGAAAGGAAGAGTCTTCTGTAATGCATGTGGGAAGACATTCTATGACAAGGGTACTCTCAAAATTCATTATAATGCTGTTCACCTGAAGATCAAACATCGGTGTACCATTGAAGGTTGCAACATGGTCTTCAGTTCCCTTAGAAGCCGCAATCGCCACAGTGCAAACCCCAACCCACGCCTTCACATGCCTATGTTAAGGAATAATAGAGACAAAGATTTAATTCGGGCTACGTCAGGAGCTGCCACTCCAGTCATAGCAAGTACAAAATCAAATCTCACACTCACAAGTCCTGGCCGGCCCCCAATGGGTTTTACAACTCCCCCACTAGACCCTGTCTTACAGAATCCTCTCCCTAGCCAGCTGGTATTTTCTGGGCTGAAGACTGTTCAACCAGTTCCTCCATTTTATAGAAGTTTACTCACTCCAGGGGAAATGGTGAGTCCTCCGACCTCCCTCCCAACCAGTCCCATCATTCCAAGCAGTGGTACCATAGAGCAGCACCCCCCTCCACCCTCTGAGCCAATCGTGCCAGCAGTGATGATGGCCACTCATGAGCCCAGTGCCGACCTGGCACCCAAGAAAAAGCCCAGGAAGTCAAGCATGCCTGTAAAGATTGAGAAGGAAATTATTGATACGGCTGATGAGTTTGACGATGAAGATGATGACCCCAATGATGGTGGAGCTGTGGTCAATGACATGAGCCATGACAATCATTGCCATTCCCAAGAGGAGATGAGCCCAGGCATGTCTGTGAAGGACTTTTCTAAGCATAATAGGACCCGGTGCATTTCAAGAACTGAAATAAGAAGGGCTGACAGTATGACATCTGAGGACCAGGAGCCTGAGCGGGACTATGAGAATGAGTCTGAGTCTTCAGAGCCCAAACTCGGTGAGGAGTCCATGGAAGGAGATGAACACATTCACAGTGAGGTGAGCGAAAAAGTCCTGATGGACAGTGAGAGGCCTGATGAGAACCACAATGAGCCTTCTCACCAGGATGTCATCAAGGTGAAGGAAGAATTCACAGACCCCACTTATGACATGTTTTACATGAGCCAGTATGGACTGTACAATGGTGGGGGGGCCAGCATGGCTGCCTTGCACGAAAGCTTCACTTCGTCTCTGAATTATGGAAGCCCTCAAAAATTCTCCCCAGAAGGTGACCTGTGTTCTAGTCCAGACCCCAAAATTTGTTATGTGTGCAAGAAGAGCTTCAAAAGCTCCTACAGTGTGAAGCTTCACTACAGGAACGTACACTTAAAAGAGATGCATGTCTGTACAGTGGCCGGCTGCAATGCTGCCTTCCCCTCTCGCCGAAGCAGAGACAGGTCAGTAAATCTCCACTGGCTGCTCCTGCTGGGGGAGGGGTTGCCAGTTTTAGTCATGTTGAACTTGAAAGATGCAAGTTAGATGTTTTTGATGCACTATAAAGATTGTCCCCAGTGACCATGTGCTAACTAAGCCACCATGCTCATGAAGGATTGTTGCAGTTGGTGCTTGTTATGATTAAGCATGCAGAATCATATACCATCTTACCCAATAATGCACGCCATTTTTCTCCATTTTTCTCTGTGCACCATGTATGTATGAATATATGTATGTATGTATGTATGTATGTATGTATGTGTGTATGTGTGTGTGTATGTTTACATGTGTCTAGATGTGACTAAGTTAACTGAATACAGTTCCCTGCTTCCCCATGAGCCCTTACTTAGAAGCCGCAACTTCTGTCATACATATAAATATATATATATATATTTCTGCTTTGCCTTGTGGCTTTTTAATTAAATCAATATATTATCTTCATACACACATATTTATCCAATATAGAAACAGAAATTTACGGATGGAAAGAACCATAGGTCCAGGACATCGAGACAGCCTGCATCTCCGTAGGTATAACCAGAAATGTTATCATTCCTTACATGACTATTTAGTGTGTCATTGAATTCTTTAAGAATCATGAAACTATCAGAAGATAATGAAGCCAAAGTAATCATTGATGCGGGACAGGGTTGTGGTGTGTGTTTCTTTATCTCAGCTCCATTGTGTTTTGGAGCACATCTCTGAAATGTACTCTGCCGTGGGACTGAGTTACAGAAGGGAAGGCATGCACGTACCTTAGGATCAGTTAGAATATATAACTCTGGTTATGTAGCTGTAGCTTTGAAACAGTGGGACTTAAACAGAAGCAGCTGCTCTTAGACCTACAATGTTCTTTATTAATCCTAGAGAAAATGTGATTTGGATGGAATGTCAGGGTGGCCAGTGGGGTAACAAGATGACCCTTCACTTACGGAGATGAGCTGATGAGTGGCTCCTTATAAAACCCAGCCCAACTCAAGTCACACATCAGCCATTCCTTCCCACTTAATGGGGTATGGTTTGGGATTGTATATTGACTTTATGGTATTTTTCAGAGGAAATTTTATCTCATTGTAAAAAACAGCATATGTGAAAAATATTAATGAATTGTCCAGGTATCTCCCATCCATATTCTGGTTTATTAGTTGGTGTCCTAGTTAGTTTCTGTTGTTTTGATAGAAACATTGACCAAAAGCAAGTTGGGGAGGAAAGATCACAGTTCCATCAGCAAGGACAGCCAGAGCAGGAACTCAGGGCAGGAACCTGGAGGCAGGAAGTAAGCACAGACCATGGAAGAATGCTGTTCCTGGCTTGCTCCTCTGGCCTGTGCTCATCCTGCTTTCTTACACAACCCAGGGACACCTGTCCAGAGTGATACCACCCATAGTGCCTAGGAGTGACACCACCCCTTAGTGGCCTGGGCCCTCCCACATCACTCAGCAATCAAAGTGCCTCATAGACATACCCACAGGCCAGCCTGATAGAGAAATTCCCCAAACGAGGTCCCTTTTCCCAGTTGTATCAAGTTGACAATAGAAACAATCTAGCACAGTTGACCAGATTCTTTGACAAAGTACCTTGTTATAAAAGTGCCCCTGAAGCTGATGTGGTAGCACAAGCCTGCAATTCTAGCACTTGGGAGGTTGCAGTAGAGGAAGACAGTAAGCTAGAACACAGCTTAAGCTACTCAGGGAGTTGGAGGCTGACCTGGGCTATGTACTAAAATGCTGTCTGGATTTTTAACAATCACTGAAAAGTAATGACCTGTTCGAAGTACTTTGGTTTCTTTCCACATATGAAAGATCAATTCTTTACAATGAAAATACATATATTTTCTTTCTGCCGACATAAAAGGAGCCCAATTCTGTTGTTTTAATGATTTCCCACATCTATAAGAATGGCTTATAGTTATTTTCAGTTCCAGATCTCATGGTCAGATAAAATGGCTGTACTTTGCATAATAAATACAGTACTATTCCTACCCATCCTGAGTTTGGAATAATGTGTTTTTCAAATTTCAAAGAATATGATAGTTATAATGAAGTTGATGTATTGAAATTTTTTATGCTGAAATTTTTAACAAAAAAAGACTTGTGAAAACCTGCATAAAATATTTATGGAGACAAGCAAAAATTTAAACTTATTTGCATGAATTCCTATCACAGTTTTAGTTAATGAGCTGAAAACAACGCAGATCATAACACTGGAATAAATAGCTAAGAGACCGGGCTTGGTGCTCTCATTTATGCACAGCCAGAAAACACAAGTGCTGCTGTTGTGTCCTGACCAGAGGAGGCTCCGTTGGGGTCATATCTGTTTGTCTGAGGAAGAATATTCGTTGATAGCAAAAGAATGTTTCAGTTGCCATTTTTATTCTAAAGACGGGATTTTGCTTCTGACCAGCTGTACAGAAGTTTAGACAAAGGAGCCTTGGGCGGGAAGAGCAGTGCAGATGAGCCGTTTCAGGAGCTAGCCAGCGCAGGGCGTCTGCGTGAGACAGCAGTACATCTAATTTTTTTAATTTTAGACTTTTATCACACATGATAAATGACAAATTGCAAATACATAACTCCTGTTTCAGACTTTTATCATCTTTTCCAGTTAACGTCAGCTGGTGCTTGTGTCTCCTTGTTCACAAAGGCCCATGGGTCCCATTGCTGGTCTATTCCTTAGACTTATCTTCTGTGTCTTCTCTTTTGCTGTTACCTATACAACCCCCAGAAAGCTTATGTTTCTAATTTTTCTTTCTTTAATCCACTGTTAAAGTTATGACAAGTTCTCTTTCTCTTTAGCCAAAAGACTTTCCCAAAGAATCCCTCCTTTGTCTTTAATCTCGCTTTCCCCAAATCTATTTGTTCTTATTCCCCAAAATACTTGCTTCATCCATCCTTGATTCCACCTTGTCTTCCTTGTGCAAATAAAGCATTAGAGGGGAAGTTTTAGTCAGGAAAATGTCTTCATGGGGACCAAAGTATGAAAGGCTCCTAGGATGTCTGTGATAAAATTGATGGAATCTCCTTCTTCCTTCTGTTCATAAATGTAGCCGTCTCATCCTCCAGACTGAGGTATCATATAGGAGTTGGGAGCAACTTCCAAAATGAGTGTACATGAGAGAGTTGCGTTTTAGGTCTTCTGATAGATGTGTTAGTAAGATGGAGGTAGGAAGGTGTTGAATACTATTTTAGCTTTGGCAGATAATTAGAGTCTTTACTCATGTTCCTTCTAGGTTTTGTAAGATAGAGTTGAAGGCCTTTTGAAAAGCAAGAATGTTCTTTATCTATAGTAAGAAAGGAAGAAAAAGAATACACATGCAGGTTTGTCAGGGCTGATGATTGTCAGCAAGTGTTAAAGGTATCTCTCAGGACATAGTTGTCAGTGGTGGTGTATTTGGTAAATTAGAAAGCCTGGAAGGTCATTCCACACTAATGACAAGAGCACGCTAATATATAAAAAGTCTTATTCATTTTGGTCACTAACTAGCTGTTAGAATAACTTTTATCCTGAGTTAGAAAGATAAAATGTGGATAATTTTCTCCACAAAGAGCTCTGATGTTCTAAGGTGATTGCTAAAGTATTCAAGTGTGTATTGAGAACACAGTGAAGTATTAGATTTTGAAATTCTTTCCTTATTTATCCCTTGATTTTTCTGCTGCTGAATTGTGGCCTTTCAGAAAACAGAAGGCTGACTCATAGATTTGAAGTAGCTATCTAGATAAATTATGGATGGATGGACGGACGGACGGACGGACGGATGTCTTCGGGGGAGGTAATACTCCCTTTGAAGAAGTTCTAACTAAGTGGCCTGAACCTGCAGTCTTCATAAACAGCATGATAGTCCTAACAGAGCTTAGATTACCTGTGGTCATTTCTCATCCTATGACTTAAAGTTTGATTCTTAGTATGTCTCATTGGTCATTCACCTCTATTTATGAGAAGCCCATGTAGAAGTTTTATATATATATATATATAATTTTTTTTCCACTCAGGAAAAAACAAACCTAACTCCGTCTGTGTGCTTCCGTAATATTCCTTATCATTTCCTAGTGTGTTAAATTTTATTTATATATGCTGTGGTGATGGTAAATTTCAAACTCTATCTAGTAAAATGATGGCATTGTACTCATAAACTAAGTGATCTCTATAGAAAAAAAACATTTCTCTTTGGTTACCATACTCATGACATTATATTTAATTATATATAATATGATGAGATTGCCATCTTTATTTGTTCTCACAGTAACTGCTAAAGTTCATCAGAAATTTTATCAGAAAGATAAGTGTATCTTGTTGATCTTCAAGGTGTGTGAGAGTGGTTCAGGCAAATGAATAAATTTTAAAACAAAATAATATCTGCCTAGGGTGATTTATAAATAAATATGAGGCACATTGGTGCCAAGTGTGAACCTTCTCTTTGATTGCTAGTTTAATCAGTCTAGATTTAAACATGTAAACTTCTTGATTTGTATGGAGTAAGACATCTGTATTTGGTTTATTAAAACCTGCTGATGTCTCCAGAACTAAATTTGTTCTTGTATAGGCCCCTGGGTAGCAGTAGCTAAAAACCAGAAATGTGTAGGTTTTGCTTGTCTTATTACCTGACTTCCAGCCCTGTACAGGTGTGCAGGAATAAATTAACATGAGCTCCCTCTGATGAGCCACCGCATACATTAACAGCAGAGGTGGAGATGTGAAAGCACGCTACCTGCCTTCTGTTACCGCTTCAGTGCAGCCAGCATTCTTGTTGGTTTGCTTTTCCATTATTCTCTACGTTTAGAAACTTATAGAGAACTTTTATAGAGAAAGCTTTTCAATAAATACTCAAGATTTCACCAGGCAATACCTCCAAGAAATGAGCCACTTAGCACCAATATACTATTAGTATATTTGCCCTAATATAATTAGCTGTCAAATAGAGTGTGTTAACCCTCTCCAAGTACCAGAGGAGAACATCTTACTGGATCAACTGCTTCGTTTCCTACATTGTTCTCAACCAAACTTCACTTCTCCGTTTCCAAAATTCTTTTTCAAGTGAAGTTGTGTACTCCTCTGGGTTTTAAATGCTAAGAGATTTTTTCCCCAGCACTACTCTATTGGGTTTCACAATAGAGTCAGCAGATCAATAGGCCTTTTGTACTTATCTCCATTACTTTCCATCAAAAGCAAACAAACAAAATAAATCCCCCTTCTGAGTAATTGCTACTTGTGCAGTCCTCAAGCAAAACTTTGGTAGTAAGATAAACTTCGGTGTCATTCTTGTCCCTGAGGTTCTTTTTATAGACAGGGAGAAGAGCAATGAGCGAAACAGTCTCCTTGTATCGTGGGGAGACTCTGTCAAGCCTAAAGTAAGCCTTGGATCTTCCTAATGACCTCCTGCTGGCCCAGCTGGATGCAAGACAAGCTCATTTAACCCTCTACCGACCTTTATTCCTCCACTATGCTAACTACACCAGTCACTTCTACCATCTTCAAAACTCTTCACCACATAAACAGTGAAGCATAATGGCCAGCAAATGATTTCCCTGCATGATGCA